GGCTGGTCACATAGGCACACTTGTCTAGCCCATACTAAAATTCCAGACTCCCAAAAGGAAAGCAGACGTTCAATATAAACCACACTCTTTGTGCATTCAATTTAGGCACAGTGAGCCATTCTAATTGGGGAATGGTGGGAATCCTTCTAAAATCCAAGTCCTCAGATGCCAGTCAAGGGCCAACCCTGCAAGCAAGCTTTTCTAAGAATAGCAGTTCAGGCCTGCTATGTTAATTCTTTTCTGCACAGCATCCTTTGCATAATCCTTTTGATATTTAAATGAAATTCTATTATGTCTTTCTTCAGTTTTTTGTTCTCAGTTAATATATAATCAACTCCTTCTATGAAAGTTTCCAGACTTTTCATCTGTTTTGGTCACCCTCATCTGCACTCTGGCTTGACTACGTCCCTCTTAAAACACGAAGCCAAAAATGTAAACTAATATTCCAGGCATAATTTCACCATAAATAGGATATTACATTTTTACTAATGGAGTTTAATATTTTGTTTTTTAAAGCTGCATTACTAATGGGTGATATGTTGAGCTGGCAGACAAAACTCGAGTTCTATGACATTATATTTATAGTCCCATTAGGCATTTTGTAAGTTTAAGCACAATGCTCCTACTGACCAAGATCATTTTGAATCGTAATTCTATCGTCTGTCTCAGGTTGACTATTCCTTCTAGTTTCCTGTCGTGTGAAAATTATTCAGGGTTCTGGAGCCAGACTACCTCAATTCAAATCATAGTACTACTACTTATAACAATGTGATCTCGGGCAAGTTAGCATAAATCCTCTGTGTGCCACAGTTCCCTTATCTATAAAAACTAAGAATAATAATCATATCTATCTCACAGAGTCATTCAATGAAATAAATGAGATAATGTATATAATAAGTCTAGTATGGTATCTGGCACATTGTAATTATATAATAAACAATTATTATTACTTATCTAAATTATTGATAAGAATAATAAACAGGTCAGGATCAAGGGCGAAGATTTATGGCATTTTTTGGGTGACTTCTCTCAGAGATGACAGCAACCAAAATTCTTTGAGAATATCAATTCAACCAGATTTATACTTTATAATATACTTAAACCCAATATAAGAAACTTCAAGATATAAAAAAAAGATATTCATTATAATCAATTTTTAATTATGTTAAGAGACTGCAGTCTCTAAACTTAACCTTTTTATCACCTACCAAATACTGGTGTGAAGAGAAAGAAATGAAGATAGCCTAGACTGGCAAGAAAGTTTCTATCACTGAGAAGAGAATTTCAACTCTTCAAGAAATTCCTACTTATATCAGAAGTCTGGCAGAATAAGAGAAACACATTCCTGTGATTATTACTGTGCATTGCCTTAAACAAAGTAACACAATGAAAATAAAATGCTAAAATGATAACCAAAGTATAATGAAAAAGAGCATTTTTAGATACTTTATCTTTTATTAATAAGAAAAACCAAGGGAATACTAATGAAAAAGTCTAGTGAAGAACAAATGCCTGTAGCACTTGTCATCTGCAATCAGAAGAGCTAAAATTCTTAGATAAAATTAAACATCTAGAATATTAACTTTAATGGCAGCAGAAGCATCAAAAAGCATCAAAAAGCATATTTCAGGGGCTGGCCCCGTGGCCGAGCGGTTAAGTTCGCGCGCTCCGCTGCAGGCGGCCCAGCGTTTCGTTGGTTCGAATCCTGGGCGCGGACGTGACACTGCTCATCAAACCATGCTGAGGCAGCATCCCACATGCCACAACTAGAAGGACCCACAATGAAGAATATACAACTATGTACTGGGGGGCTTTGGGGAGAAAAAGGAAAAAATAAAATCTTTAAAAAAAAAAAAAAGCATATTTCAACACTGAACTTTAAAAACTGCTATCTGACCTCTAAAAAGAAAATGACAAAGTAATAAAAATTACTATATGCATAGTATTGGTTACATTTATCCTTATTAACACAGTTATATCCCTAAATTTTTCCAAAAGATTAATCAAACAACTACATATGGATAATCAAAGAAATAAGGTTTACATGCAAACAAATGGCTGTCATACAGTTTCCAGCAAGCTAACATTTCCAATTAATGACTCTACAATGTAGTCTTGTTTAGAGTCAAATGTGAATCTTGAAATTAATTCATTCTAATAGTGACTTGGAGAATAGCAACAGTATTCACTTAGGAGCACAGCCGCAGAGACTTTCAGAACTGGGGTCAGAGCCTTGCTCTGCAAATCACTAACGGTGTAGCTTTAGGCAAGTTACCTAAGTTTCTCTAAGCCTGTTTCGTCAACTAAAAAACGGAGATAATATTTACCTCACAGGCTTTTTGAGAAGACGAATTAGGATATTTTCTAATATACATATGTATGTGTGTGTGTATATATATATACATATGTATCATATATATGTGATATATATATATGCATATATATATATATAAGAATTCTAGGAGGTATATACTAGTAACAAGTCACATTTTACAGCTGAGTACAAAAAGGTAAGGAACCTGCCCAAGTCACCCAGCTGTTAACTTGACAAAAACCAGGATTTACACTTAACCAAGTTCTAGAATCTGTGCTCTTAACCATTCCATTATACTGCCTCTCACACATGTAGTAACATGTAGCCCACAGGAATAATTACTTTCAGATGCCAGATACTATATGTTGACTGAACCTGTGAGTTTCTTGGAAGCTGTGACATCCCCCATTTTACTTAAGGTCAATAGGAACACATAAGAGAGACGTGGATCCCATCTTGGCCACTTATTAGCTGTGTGAATCTATAATCTCCCTGAGCTTCATTCAAGTGTAAAACGTACATAACAATAACATCTCTTACAAGAGGTAAAGAAGCATCTGTTTGCAAAGCATCTAGCACAGAGCCTTGCATATAAAGTGCTCAGTAAATGTCAGCCCCCCCCACCTCACTCTCCTATTTGTGACTCGTCACATAGTAATCTTTCCAAACACCATGCTACTACTTCTTGATACCCTCTTACCAACTATGTTAACAGTTGGGTGGCAAAGAACATTATTTTTTGGTGGTTACCATGTGACACCAAATAAAACCTCAGTGAAGTCCAGCGATATTATATAATTTTAAGTATAATAAACTTCCTCCCTTTTGTCCATATGGTCTATCACTTTTATCAAAGTAAAAAATAAAATTAGTCTACCAAGATTTGTTCTTTATAAAATTATGCTAAATGTTCCCCAATACCTTCTGTTCTTTTAGGTAACTGCCAAATGATTTACTTGATTTGTTCTAGTTTCTGATCAGACATTGTTTAAAAATTAAGTTGACCTTAGCATTTCCAAAGTTATCTTTTACCCTTTAAAAAAAATCATTACTTTTTCTGTCATCAGACACTTCTCCTATTCACCATAATTTATCAAAAATAAAAGGTAATAGCTTGGCACTAGGTTCTTTTCCCTCACATTTTCATGGAGGAAATATCTAATACTGAATTCTAAGCACTATTCATGCTAAATGCAGCCATAGCAATTAGTATTTCTTGTCAATTGGGCAGCATTTTCTTAAGAAAATATAAAATGCTAGGAGGTAGCATGATCGATCATAAATCAAAACTGCTATATAATTAATCTTTTTTTTCCTTGGATAGCAAGGATGTCACGAAGCACATCCTGTTGGCTTCCAAGTATCATTTAAAAATATTCCCATGTCTTAAAGCAATCTGGAAGTAGATGCTGAAAGCCAAAGGAATTTTTCAATCAAGTCTTGACTTCTGAAATCTACTACTTCCTCGATCAGCTAAAAGGCATGTTGCGAGGCTACAATCAGAAGCACCACAGAGAAAAGTGGTGCTGTGGGAACAATTCATTTGTTTTTGGCACAGGCAAGGTTCACTACCAATTTGTAACAGTATGAATTCGATAACTGTTCAAAGCCAAAAATGAGGTTTGGACATGAACAGATTTTCCAAGTAGCTTTTGCTGAGGCCTAGCAGCTAATATAAAATTAAAAAGCCATTAAGAGGTGGTAAAGTACAGGCAATGTCTAGGAATTAAAATAAGACCTATTAGTTGAATTGCTAAAAAAACGTATTGAGCTAAAGACAAGATATTTTGCTTCATTCATTTACTCTTTCTTGAGCTAACTTTATGAAAAGGAGATGGGAAATTATATTTTTGGTGCTTAAGTTTAGCCATCTATAAACAATATTACTTGCCCTAGTAACCTCATGAGTCTAACAGAAGCCTAAATGAAATAACAGCTGCTAAAGCATTGTTCAAAATTTAAAGTGTATAGCAACATAAGATATAACTGTATTTTTACAATTTGTAAGCATCTACAATGAAGTCATTTTAATGATGCCAGTCCCACTGGCCAAATACACACTCTTGACAAGTAACTTAGCAGTGATATTTTCTCAGCCCTTTATGGAATTACAATTATCAACAAATAAAAATTTTTCTTTTGGGGCCAGCCCGGTGGCACAGCAGTTAAGTTCGCACGCTCTGCTTCGGTGGCCCGGGGTTCGCTGGTTCGGATCCCGGGTGCAGACATGGCACTGCTTGCCAAGCCACGCTGTGGCAGGCGTCCCACATATAAAGTAGAGGAAGATGGGCACAGATGTTAGCTCAGGGCCAGTCTTCCTCAGAAAAAAGAGGAGGATTGGCAGCAGTTAGCTCAGGGCTAATCTTCCTCAAAAAAAAAAATTTGTCTTATTTGTTAGTTCCTACTCACTTTGTTTCACTTTTATAACTTAATACTTATAATATATAAATCCACTTAATTAAAAAGTGAAAATCTGGGACATTATCTCAAAAAATCACTATGATCTCTTTCATTATACATCAAGAATATCTCAATATTATTGCAAAGAGTTTTCAGTTTTAAATAAAAAGGTTTTATAAAATAAGATTAACTTCCCATTATTGATATTAAAACTAAAAAAGTCAAAAACATTAACTGTTTCAAACAAAAACCATATTTATATCTCTGTCCCGTTAGCCCAACTTACCTCATCTCCCTTCAAAACTTCAGCGCCACCAAATTCACGGGTCTGATTTGTCTTCACCGACACCTCTCTCTCCAAGCTGGCTGACTTCTCCTTTGCTTCCTGAAGTTCCTCAGCTTTGGCTTCTTTTTTACGAGAAATGATGGATGCCTAATTGAGCATTAAAATGAATGTAAAATAAGATACAATTAACTTTCTATTATCTTGTGAAATTATCTGTTTTTTAGATTTTACTGAGCTAAATTTTTAATATCAGTTTGGCTTCCCCTGACCAATACTTCTTGTCCTACCATCTATCATCACCAGTTATATTTTTAGGAATGAGCATGCAATATATGTTAAACATTAACCTAAAAACATTTTGGAAGACAAAAGCACTGGAAATATAGGGCACATCAGCAGAGAAACAAAAACGCAATAGTAATAAAAATATTAAGATCTTGTCAAGTAACACTCAAATGCTAATGAAAATACCTTCTAGGTAAGTAAATAGAAGCTATCACTAAGTCTATTGTTTTTCTGCCTGGTGGGTTTCTTTTTATTGAAAGAAAACAAGAATGGTTTATTCTCACAACTACAACACAGGTCATCTTATCTAAGTTCAACATCTATACTTTTAAAATGAAATATTAAAACATCTATTATATTTGGGGCATTCTAGTGAACAAAATGCAGGTTTAAAACCAAACATCTGACTCATCAGAATTATGCAAATGTTTACAAACCCAAATGGCTGCTCTTACCCATGAATGCCGCATTTTGTATTAGTTAGCAACTCTTGGGGGATTTCCTTAAATGAATCATGGCTATACTAATTTAACAAAAACATTAACCAAAGTGCCTTCTTAGGTGAAATAGTACAAATATTTTCTTCAAAAAGATTTGATGGGAGAGGGGAAATCTCTAATACAAATCCTTTAAAAAATTCCATTGTCCTTTGTGTTTAAAAAATGAAAAGACAGGTGAGGAAGGAATATTTCTCTCTATAGAATTATTCCACCAAAAAAAAGGGAGAGAAGAAATGATAAGAGTACTGGAATTGTATAGGAATTGATGATATATTTCCTTAACATGAGAGAATAAATAAATATAAACCTCAGTCCAAACCAGGATCTTCTTTAATAGGGAAACATGAGGTTATCTCCCACTAAAGTCTGGAACAAAATAAAAATGCCCACTATCTCCACTACTTTCTTTCTTTCTTTTTTTTTTTTTTTGAGGAAGATTGGCCCTGAGCTAACATCTGCTGCCAAGCTTGAGGAAGACTGTCCCTGAGCTAACTAACATCTGTGCCAATCTTCCTCTATTTTGTATGTGGGATGCCTCCACAGCATGGCTTGATGAGCAGTGTGTAGCTCCGTGCCTGGGATCTGAACCCAAGAAACCTGGGCCGCCAAAGTGGAGCACACAAACTTAACCCCTATGCCACTGGGCCAGCCCCTCCACTACAATTTAATATCATGTTGAAGGTATTTACTCATACCATTAGACAAGAGAAAGCAATAAGAAGTATAAGAATTTGAAAAGAAAAATTGGAATTTTCATAGTATATATGAGATTACGTACCTAAAAAAACAAATGAATCTATGTAAAAACTACAATAAACAAATCAATAGCTTTCATAGACAAACAAATCAGTCAGAAGACATAAGGAAAGAAAAACTCTTTACTTATAAAAGCAAAAAATAAAATAAAGTATGTAACCATAAATTTAACAAGAGAAGTTCCAAAACATTATGAGGAAAACTATTAAACACTCCTGAAAGACACAAAAATAAACAAATGGAGAGACACACCATATTCTTAGACAGGAAGACTCAATATCATAAAGATGTAAGTCCTGAGGTAATTAATAAATATAAAGCAAATCCAATAATTAAAAAATTATGGCTTTTTAACAGAGCTAGACAAGTTGATAATAAAGCTTATTTGGAAAAACATACTAACAAGAATTCTCAGAATAACCCTGAAAAAGTAAAGCAGTTGGGGTGAAGGTGGCTACTTTTATTACATATTACAACTTTATTATAAAGCTTCTTTAAATAAAACAGTTAATATGAGTACATAAACAGACAGGCCAGTAGAACAATAGAAAATCTAGAAATAAATCCAATAGCATTTTTACATTTAAAATAAAACAAAGGTAGAATCTCAAATCCACAGGGGAAAAAATGGACTTTTTACTAATAGGTGTTGGGACAACTGGATAATTGGATAGCCACAGACGATAAATACCATACATCAGAAAAAATTTTAAACAGATCAGAGATATAAAAAATTAAATTGTAGAAGTCTGAAAAGAAAATATGAGTAAATTTTTTTACTTGCAAGAAGAAAAAATGATCCTAAATACGACTCAAAATCTGAAGTAATAAGAGAAAGAATTGATAAATTTGATTTCATAAATATGAAGAACTTTTTCATGGCAAAGTAACACCATAAGCAAAGTAAAAAGGCAAATACTAAACTGGGGAAAAATGCTACACTTATTAGCTAGGCAAAAAGTAAATATTCCTAATACATAAAGAGTTTCTAAAACTAGAATAAAAGGCCAAGAACCCTATAGAAAAATGGATATATATATATGAAGGTACAATTCACATAAAAAGAAGTTAAAATGACTGTTGCTCATGTGAAAAGATGCTCAACCTTGTTTATAGTAAGATAAATGAAAATTAAAACTATCATAAGATATCATTTCTGGTTACAAAACTCTAAAAGTTCAACAACATATTCTATTGGCAAGGCTGTGAGGAAACAGGCATTCTCCTCCATTGCAGGTGGGAATGTAAAATGCTCTAACCCTTATGGAGAGGAATGTGGCAATATTTAGCAAACTTACATATACATTTACCCTTTGATGTAGCAATCTCACTTCTGGTACTATATCCTAAAGATACACTAGCAAAAAACATGAAAGACATAAACAAAAAGCTATTCATGGAAGCACGATTTGTAATAGCAAAAGAATGGCAACAACCCAAATGTCCACCAACTGGGGATTGGTTGAATGAACTGTGGAAAACCCACTCAGTGGAGTACTACGTGACTGTGAACAGGAATAAGCATACCCACTACTTTGGCTCTAATGAAAAAGACATATAATAACAAGTGCTGGCGAGAACGTGGAAAAATCAAAAGCTTCCTACACTGTTGGTGGAAATGTAAAACGGTACAGCCGCTTTGGAAAGCAGTCACACATTTCCTCAAAATTTTGAATAAGGAATTATCACATGAACCAGCAATTCCACTCCTAGGAATATACTCAAGAGAAATGAAAACATATTTCCATAAAAAAACCTATACAAGAATGTTCATAGTAGCATTACTCATAATAGCCAAAAAGTAGAAACAACCCAAATGCCCATTAACTGATGAAAGGATGAACAAAATGTGATATATACATACAATGGAATATGAGTCAGTAATAAACAAAGAATGAAGTACTGACACATGCTACAACTTGAATGAACTACAAAATCAGCACGCTAAGTGAGAGAAGTCAGTCACAAAGGACCACATGCTGCATGATTCCATTTATATGAACTGTCCCTGACAGGCAAATCTATTGAGACAGTTTGGCCTCTGGTAGTTGTCTAGGGCTGGAGGTTCAGGCGGTAAGGGGAAGTGACTGCTAATGGGTTTAGGGTTTCTTTCTGGGGTGATAAAAATGTTCCACAATTGATTGTGGTGATGTTGCACAACTCTGTGAATATATTAAAAATCATTGAATTGTACACCTTAATGGGTGAATTGTATGGTATGTGAATTGTATCTCAATAAAGTTATAAAAAACAGGAATAAGGATTATTCTACTATTCACCAGCATATATTGTTAAGAATAAACAAAGCATGGAGAATAAAAGTGTGTATAATATATTCTTCTTTCCCTAAGAAGGGAGATACATGAATATATAACATTATTTCTTAATGGAATAATAAACTATAAAGTTAAAAAAATAATTACCTATGGGGAAAGGAAAGAATAGGGTGGATAGCACAGGGGTAGATGCTAGGAACTTCTTTGAATATTTCTTGCTTTGTAGATTTGACTTGGAATCATGTAAATATTTTAAATAATTATAAAACAAATTAATCCCTAAAAAATAATGCCTAAAAATATAAAAAAACACATCTATGTATCCAGTTTAATTTTTGGCATAACCACACAGAAGAACTATTCTAAATGACTTTAAAACAGTATTTCGACTCTATGTCCCTAGTGGGATATACGCTAAAGAAAAAACAAACTAAAGAACAATTTTCAGCAGTAATCATATTTTTGGTGGTAGTACTGGTACTTCTATTTTGAAACTATTATCTGTAAAGTATGGATTAAAGCAAATGACAAATTATGACAGTGCCAAAGGACTAAAGCAGAGAACAAATTAAATTATGCTGGTGTTACTGAGAACCAGAATTTTCATTGTGGCATAAGGAGAAAGATGTGAGATTGATGAGGTTAAGTAAAAACCCAGTAGTCTTGAATCTGAACTGGAAGGATTAGTATGATGTACTTTAGTACATGGTGTACTTTAGTACATTTTGATGTACACAGTGTACTTCATGAGAAAAAAAAGAGAAAAACTACTTCCTAGCTCTGTCCACTGAAAAGACCTAAAAACAACTGGCCACCCCAGTAGCAAGGAGAAATCCTAATACTACCCAGATTGGATTAGCAGACATTTGGTCCATGTCAAAAGGTCCTTGACATTTGGTCCGTGCCAAACGGTTTTGGACAGGACCAACTACCAAGGACCTATTGGTGTAGACCCAATTTCTCCATGGACGTTTTGGACAGGACCAAATATGACCAGATATCAAGGACCTTTTGGCGTAGACCAAATGTCTTACGGACCACACGTCTTATGGACGTTTGGACAGGACTAAAGGTCCTGCAAAGCCCAGATTGTGGTCTCTAAGTATAATTTCCTACTAAAACAAATCACACTCATAGAAGAAAGTCTAATTCCAGGTCTAGGGTAGGAAATGTAAAAAACGAGCTTAGAAATATTTTAATCATATCAGAAAGCAAGAACATCATCAAAGACAAATAGAATCTTAAAAGAACTGAGAAGTTAACTTGAAAAGCCTCCTACTAGCCCAAAATGGGACAATTTGAGCATCATTAAAGAAAATGTTTGAAACTTATCAAATATGATTACATCTATGATTCAAAATGACATTAAATAAACAAGCAAACAAAAAATAAAAAACTAACCCTTATTGATCACACTTACTGTTGGAGGAAGAAAACGAGTTGGAGAAAACCAATTTATTTTGAAAATTGATAAAAATAAGAATCAAGCAAGTACCCTGCCTTTCCTATATGAACTAGAGAGCAGGATAACCACATAGTTGACGAGAGGAGGTTTCTCTTTGCAGAAGTAGTCCACCTAATAAACGAAGAAGGAATCACAGCACCAACATTTCGTAATCTCTAATGAAATTAATGGATAGGCAATGATAATCAATGGCTGCTAACATCATAGAGAGACAACCAGACATTATTACCTCTAAATCAAAGTACATAATTCCACCTAGAAAATATTCTTGCCAAAAAAAAAAATCAAACTAGAATCTGTTCAAGCTTCTTGTTCTAATATATAGGAAATACAGGAAACAGAGGAACATGTTAAAAGGAAACCATAAGGTCACAATCAGTAAACTACAAACTATAGGAAACGAAATAGGATAAATAAACAAGTTTCTTCAATAAATAAATTGCAAGAAAATTATTAAATAAACAAATAACTAACTGGGAAAGAGAACCTATAGATAAAAAGAGACTTGAATAGGGCCAGCCCCATGGCCGAGTGGTCAAGTTTGTGCACTCTGCTTTGGCAGCCCAGGGTTTCACCAGTTCGGATCCTGGGCACGGACATGGCACCGCTCATCAGGGGCCACGTTGAGGTGGCGTCCCACATGCCACAACTAGAAAGACCCACAACTAAAAATATACAACTATGTACCAGGGGAGCTTTTGGGAGAAAAAGGAAAATAAAATCTTAAAAAAAAAAAAAAAAAGACAGAGACTTGAACATATCAACCAAATGCAGTGTATGAATCCTGTCTGGATTCTAATTAAAATAAAGCAACTAAAAAAAGAAAGAAAGAGGCAATCAAGGAAATCTGAACACTGACTAGATACTTGCCAATATTAAGGAACTATTAAATTTTTCAGATGTGGTATGTTGCTAAGTTTTTTAAAAGCCTTTATTTTTTTAGAAATACGTTATAAAATATTTACAGATGAAATGATATGAAGTCTAAGATTTGCTTCAAAATAATCCAGTCAGGGCCAAGGGTACATATGAAACAAGAATGGCCATGATTGCTATAGTTTAGAGACACATGAGGGTTTATTGAACTATTTTTTCTACCTTTGTATATGGTTGAAATTTTCCATTATAAAAAGGTTTTTAAAAATTCTAGCATCCTTGACTAATGCTTTGTCATGTAGCTCAGTATTTTCTGAGATCATAGAATTCTCTTCACACTAAACTCCCCCAACCTGGGTTCTTTTCAGATAATCCATGGCTTTCATTTGAATCTTTGGTCTAGAAATACATAATAACATATATACTCTCATAATCTAATAGTTGTGGATAAAATGATAAACGCCTTAGTACTAAAATTTACTTTATTCTATACTTGCAAACTAACTTGAAATCTGAAAAAGTTATATTACCTTAATTCATTAAAGATCACGAATATTTTGATTTATATCACTTAAGGTAAGCTTTCATTTAAAAATCAAATTCCACACTCACAGATATAAACACCAACAGCTCTGTCACCACAGTTGGCAGACACTAAAGAAACTAAGCATTATCAGGTATATTGAATTTCAAACTTACACAGGCATCTTTTGTGGCTTTTCCACAAATTCCGTTATAACCTGGAGACTAGCAATGACAGAAGAACATTTATTCTTTATTGCCTTCTCCCTTTAAGACTATCAATAATACAGCCCCTGGTGTTTATGAAGGTGTTCACCAATAAGAATACAGATCTAACTATGTGGGCCAAAAGAGTGGTCTTACCTGTTGCCTATATAGTGAGAGTTTGCCTTCAATTGGCTCATTTCTCATCATTTTCTTTTCAATCAGCTGATTGATCTGTGTGTTCATTTCATTTATCTAAAACAGTATGAAAGTAGAAAAGGTTAAAACTCTTCCTATGATTATATAAACTAAGGGACATCTGGCCAAACCAAGCTTTGAATTTACAGTTCTTATCAGTGATTTCATGGGAGGAACAGTTCCATTAATGTGGGTTGTAACAATTACTTTTAAAAACAATTTACATTTCACAGCTCAGGATACATATTCACACAATTTGATTACTTATATGGATTCAACCATCCATGTCTAAATTATCCTAAAATATTCTATGTGAAATATTTATGCATTATTATAAAAAAGATGATTTCTAACAATCTGAAGTTATCCGCTCACCTTGGTTGTGACTTTCAAGTCACTGCAAGTGATAAAGCAAATCTGGACTAACATTCCCCAGGGATTTAGTACAAGGAATTCATGAACCCAGCTGGGAGGTGACATGGATGACATCTAAAAACTCTTCCTGTTCTAATGATCTGTGATTCTATCATAGCTGTCATTTATCATACTCATTAATCTAAACCTTTCCCAAACGTAATAAAATAAAACTGAATAAAGCCAAGAGAAGCATATAGTCCCTCAAAAAATAAAAAAAATTACATGGCTTTCAGTATATCCTTCCTTTGAAAAGACTAGAGTTCTCCTGTCAATTCTATGACATTAAAATTGAGCCAAATATGACTTGTACATCTAATTTCTATAAGTAAATTACAAGAATAAAATGGTCAGAATTATATATTTAATTGTAGTGGCTATTAAACACATAGTAAGCACATTAAAGGATTTGCAAGTCAAAACCTTCCAATCAATTTTCATGATATTTAATTACTTTTAAGAAATATACATCTGATTAGCATTTTACTTCTAGGGAACAAAAATGTTATGTTACCAGGTTTCAATGACCATTACAAGAAAGTTTAGTAATTGCAAAGCAAGTATAAAAGGCTAATAAAAAATATTAGCTTTAAATATAAAATTGCTATAATATTATTCTTAGAAATAAAAATTAATGATATTTAAAATATTTTAAAATTTGTCTTCTAAATGATCCCATTATGAATACATAAACCTATGAGCCAATCATATGCATTAATTTATATATCCAAGTTATTTAGTTACCTAATCATTTGACTAGGTTCTTACAACATCATGTGGATTAAGTAAAAGAATTATATGCTATAATTTCTCATAAAGAACAACTGTTCATAAGAGCTGTCAACTTAAGAGTCAAGAGTAGAACACTATAGAAAGCAGTTCACATAATTTTCACAGAACTGTGGATGAGATAAAATTGGGATCTATAAAAAGAAGATGATTGTCACTTACTTTAGATTCAAGTTCAAGAAGATCAGAATGGCCCATAGCAGGCTCTGAAACCACTTTTTGTAAAAAATGCAATTCTTTTTTCTTGCTTTCTAATTCTTTAGGAAATTTTTCAGTTACCATATATGAATTAAACTTTATCTCCTCCTCTAGTCTCTTCATTAAACCTTTAAAAATAAAATAAATGTATACTCAGCTCAAGAGAGTAGGTATATTGATACTTTGTACACTTGAAAATATAAGACCTGGGTAGTAGGGCATATCTGTCTAAAGCATTCTGTATAATATCTAGCATAGTACAAAAAAAGATTGGCCATTGAAATCTTTTGAGGTTAATTAGAACGATAATGAAGGAGGACAATTTACAAAGAAGAATATTTAAATAATTACAGAAAAAGTTATATTATGATCTTCTAAATTACCACCTAATTCTTTCATACTCTACAATATGCAAAAATAACATTTGCAGAGCCAGATATATTGTCGGGTCACATTTTGCCTTGTAAGTATTTAAGAAATCCACAAACCAAATGACAACAAAAATGAAATCTAACCCAGATTCTTTCTTCTATAAGCAGTCATTTATTCTTTTTCTTTGGCAATACTTCTGAAGCAATTTATATCTATTTTAATACTCCACAAATGGTAATACATTATAATTTGTCAGCTTCAAACCAATGAAGACATTACTAAAAGTACAAGTTAAAAATCCAAAAAAGAGAAATTATCTACATTCATAAATGTTTGCAGTTTTCCATGTTTGGTCGTTTTGCTTTTGCAAAGTATTCGTTTAAAGTTATGTGGCAACTTAAACTGTATTTTTAAGACTTAATAGTTTTATTTTGGCAGAGTGCACAAATATACACACACACAGATTTTCAGTGAATAATGGCTTTGTTATAAATTCCCAGCCTAGAGAGCTTTACAAAGTTTATTTCAGATCTTTCCATTACACATTTACAAATTCTGGCTTGACTTTTTAAAACACTGGATTTCCGGTTTAAGTAATCTGCGTGCGTAGATTGCATAATAAATCTGGACCAAAGCCTTAAAATTATTTTTAGTTCTGTTGTGCTAGCCATATATTAACATGTAAAAATTTATTAATGGCAAATTCACAAGTTCTCCATTCATCCCTACAATATTCCCCCCTTTTCAGGGACTGGAGAAGGGGAGGCAAGAGAAAACGCTTAATGAATCACACTATAATTAGGCAGTCATTCCTCTGTAGTTTCTGATTAAATCTACATCCTGGCTTCTTGGGCTATTACATGACTAGTTTTTCCATCTTCAAGTTCTTAAACATACTGCATGTAATCAGAGGTATGAGGAACCAAAATCTAAAATGTTTTTAAAGATTTAAAGTTTTAAATATTATTTTTCCTATTTAAAAAAAAGTTGCTAATTCTAGAAAATACCAACTAGTCTATAGTGACAGAAAGCAGATCAGTGGTTGCCTGGGGATGGGTAGAGGGGCAGAGAGGGCAGGAGTGAGACATTACAAAGGGGCATAAGGAAATGTTTGAGGGTGATGGACATATCTGTTATCTTGATTAAGGCTGATGGTTTCACCAGTGCATACATATGTCAAAATTTATCAGGTACATACTTTAAATATGTGCAGTTTATTTTATATCCACTTTACCTCAATAAAGCTGTTAAAAAACAGATTTCCATCACATTTTCAATTCCTCTCTTAAAAATTTTGACTTAGGAGTGACATCAGCATCATGGCAGAATGAGTTGTTTCCTCAGGCTCTCCCCTTTAAGTTATAACTAAATGGACATTAATTAACCAGCATAGGATGCCTTGCACAGCACAACACTTCTGAGAGATCCGTGCAGCTATACATCTGAAGGCAGGTGGATGGGGCAGTGGAACTAAGTAAGCACACCCCTTTCCCTGCCCAGCGGTGGTGAGTCAGTTCACAGATCCTCACATAGCAGCCATGCATGACCATAAGAGGAGGTGGGGACAGCCCAGCCTGAGCCAATGCTTTTGGAGTTGCAGCCTGGCCCACGGGAGTGTCCAATGTGCTGCTGTGACCCCACCCGTGGGAACATTCTACACCGAGTGATGGAAGCTCAGCCACTGCATGGGTGTTCCTCCCCGCAGTGCAGCACAGGTAAGAAGATGCCCCCACCGATGGGGCACAGCAGCCCCAGGGATCCACCAAGTTGCAGTTCAGCCCCCTTGTGGGTACCCCTCACACTTAGAGCAGCACAGGCAAGAAAGCGCCTCGCCCATGGAGCACAGCAGCCCACGGGACCAACCAAGTGGCGGCTCAGACCCCACATAGGTGCCCCTCCTGCCTAGCATGCAGCAGCTCAGTGAGTCCCCTGCCAAACCCAGAGGCCCTGTCTATGGTACCCAATGTGCCCACCCAGCACAAAGGCCCTGCCCACGTGAGTGCAACCTGCAGAGTGGCTGCAGCCAGCCTGGGAAAACACAGAGTAGCCCTACCCACACAAATTCCAGCAGACAGCGTGGGATCAGAAAACACAGCTCCTGCCTGCACCCTCTACCCGCAGTGGTGGCAGGTGGAATCTGTGACCTGACACTACCACAAATGTACTGGCAAAGGATCACTTCATCAAACACCATGAAGAACTACATTAACACTTCAGAGCAGAAGGGAAATGACAAGTCTCCAGAAACCAATCCTGAATTCACAGAAATTTACAATCTAAATGACAGAGAATTCAAAACAGCTATCATAAAGAAACTCAACAGGTCACAAGAAAACTCAGAAAGACAGTTCAGTGAACTCAGGAATAAAATTAATGAGCAGAAGGAATACTTCACCAAAGAGATTGAAACTCTAAAAAAAAAACCAAACAGAAATTCTGGATATGAAGAACACAATTAATGAGATAAAAAATAATCTAGAATTCATAAAAAATAGACCTGACATTATGGAGGACAGAATTAGAGATTTGGAGGATAGAAATATAGAAATGTTTCAGGTGGAGGAGGGGAGAGAACTAAGATTCTTAAAAAATGCAGGTATTCTTTGAGAAAGATCTGACTCAATTAGGAAAAGCAACATAAGGATTATAGGTATTCCAGAGGGAGAGGGGAGGAGGAAAGGAGCAGAGAACTTGTTCAAAGAAATAAAAGCCGAGAACTTCTAAAACCTGGGGAAGAAACTGGACTTACAAGTACTTGAAGCCTATAGAACTCCTAATTACATCAATGCACAAAGACCCACTCCACGGCATATACTATTAAAACTGGCAAAAGTCAATGACAAATAAAAATATTAAGGGCAGCAAGGCAGAAGAAAATAATCTACAAAGGAACCCCTATCACACTTTCAGAGGATTTCTCAGCAGAAACCTTACATGCTAGGGGAGAATGGAATGATATAATCAAAATACTGAAAGACAAAAACTTTCAGCCAAGAATACTCTAGTCACTGAAACTATCCTTCAGATATGATGAAGAAATAAAAACTTTCCCAGATAAACAAAAGCTGAGGGAGTTCATCACCACTAGACTTCCCTCACAAGAAATGAGGAAGGAAGCCCTCCTACCTGTAACAAAAAGGGAAAGGTTTAGAAAACCTCGAGCAAGGAAATAAATAGCCAGAATAATGACATGATTCTATATATAAAAAACCCTAAAGAATCCACCAGAAAGCTATCAGACATAAGCAACAACTACAGGAAAGTGGCAGGGTATAAAGTCAACTTACAAAAACCAGTTGCATTTCTTTTTTTTTTTCCAAAGATTTTATTTTTCCTTCTTCTCCCCACAGCCCCCTGGTACACAGTTGCATGTTTTTTTTTAGTTGTGGGTCCTTCGAGTTGTGGCAGCATTTCTATACACTAATAATGAACTAACAGAAAGGGAAGTCAAGAATACAATCCCATTTACAATCTCAACAAAAAGAATAAAATATCTAGGAACAAATTTAACCTAGGAGGTGAAAGACCTATACAATGAAACCTATAAGACATTATTGAGAGAAATTGAAGAAGACACAAAGAAATAGAAAGATATTCATGCTCATGGATTGGAAGAATAAACACAGTTAAAATGTCCATATTATCTAAAGCAATATACAGATTTAATGCAATCCCAATCAGAATCCCAATGACATTCTTCATGGGAACAGAACAAAGAATCCTAAAATTTATATGGAACAAAAGATTCCAAATAGCCAAAGCAATCCTGAGAAAAAAGAACAAAACTGGAGGCATCACAATGCCTAACTTCAAAATATACTACAAAGCTATAGTAACCAAAACAACATGGTATTGGCACAAAAACAGATGCACAGATCAATGGAACAGAACTGAAAGCCCAGAAATAAAACCACACATCTACGGACAGCTGATCTTCAACAAAGGAGCCAAGAACATAAAATAGAGAAAGGAAAGTCTCTCCAATAAATGGTGTTGGGAAAACTGGACAGCCACATGCAAAACAGTGAAAGTAGACCATTATCTTACACCATATACAAAAATTAACTCGAAATGGATTAAAGACTTGAATGTAAGACCTGAAACCATAAAACTCCTAGAAGAAAACATAGGCAGTACACTCTTTGACATGGATCTTAGCAGTATCTTTTTGAACACCATGTCTACTCAGGCAAGGGAAACAAAAGAAAAAATAAACAAATGGGACTACATCAGACTAAAAAGCTTCTGCAAGGCAAAGGAAACCATGAACAAAATGAAAAGACAACACACCAATTGGGAGAAAATATTTACAAATCATATATCCAACAAGGGGTTAATTTCCAAAATACGTAAAGAACTCACACAACTCAACAACAAAAAAACAAACAACCTGATCAAAAAATGGGCAGAGGATATGAACAGACATTTTTCCAAAGAAGATACACAGATAGCCAACAGGCACATGAAAAGACGTTCAACATCACTAATTATTAGGGAAATGCAAACCAAAACGACAATGAGATATCACCTCATATCCATCAGAATGGCTATAACTACCAAGATAAAAAACAACAAACATTGGAGAGGTTGTGGAGAAAAGGGAACCCACATACACTGCTGGTGGGAATGCAAACTCACTTAGCCACTATGGAAAACAGTACGGAGATTTCTCAGAAAAATTAAAAATAGAAATACCATACAATCCAGCTATCCTACTATTAGTTATTTATCCAAAGAACATGAAATCAACAATACAAAGAGATCTATGCACCCCGTATGTTCAATGCAGCATTATTCACAATGGCCAAGACGTGGAAGCAACCTAAGTCACATCAACTGATGAATGGATAAAGAAGATGTGGTGTATATATATATACACACACACAATGGAATACTACTTGGCCATAAAAGAAGAGAAAATCCTTCCATTTGCAACAACATGGATGGACCTTGAGGGTATTATATTAAGCAAAATAAGCCAGACAGAGAAAGACAAACACCATATGATTTGATTCCTATGTGGAAGACAAACAAATACATGGATGAAGAAAACAGATTAGTGGTTACCAGAGGGGAGAGGAGTGCGGGAGTGGGTGAAAGGGGTAAAGGGGCACATGTATGCTGATGGATAAAAACTCGGCTATTGGCGGTGAGCACAATGCAGCCTATGTAGAAACTGATACAAAATAACATACACTTGAAACTACACAATGTTGTAAACCAATACAACCTCAATAAAATAAAAAAACTATCAACTTAGACCTTGAAAAGTAGTCATATGTTTCTAAAGTTTTTTAAAAAATATCTTTCAAAATCCTGATGAAATTAAAAATAAGGTCACTAAGATCTCATCAAACTTTTTGATTAAAAACCCTCTGAAAACATCTCACTGATCCTACTATAACTGAATGCAGAGTCCTTTTATATAATAAATGTCCTGAATGTGTAGAGTATAAAGATGAATTAACTTCAATGAATGCTTTATAATATGGTCATTATTCTGAAAAAATACAAATTACATCGTTACACTAAAAACACTTTTTGTCATTTAAGTAAATAGAAAGAAACTTTTTGTAACATTCTTTCTTAGTAAAAAATTTAGGTAGACCTTATTAAACTAAAAACCTAGATCAATTAAACATCTGTTTAATCTACTCTTTTCCTAGGCTGCTGAATACAACCCTTGAGACTCTGTTTCCCAGAAAGATGTCAACAAGGCAAGAACTCCTTAACTTCTTGCTCCCTACTCCCGTTCTACCCAGAAAAAAACACATATTGCACACATAATGGCTTATTTTTATATTTTCGGCCATTTTTTCTTACTTGATTCCCTTCCTACCTGTAGAAAAGATAATTTTCTTCCTATCCAGGGTTAAGGTCTCTACTCTCACCTCCCAACAATTTAACAGAATATTTATTGAATACCTGCCATGTGTAACCTAGTGTGCTAGGGCCTGGAAATAGACCAATTATGACTTGGTGACTAGCCTGGAATTTAGTTGAGTCAGAGTCAGATATGCCAACAATTAACATATCATGGTAATTGCTGTAGAACATTCAATGCAATGCATGGAGTACAATGGGAGCACACAGGAAAGGCTATCAGTTCTCACCTTTTCCTTCTGAATCTTCAAATTTCCATTTGTCTAACTCTTTCTTCCAGCATATAAAGACCACTACACTACTACCCTCCCTCAACCTAGGCACAGTACTGTCTTTCTCATTCATTTGCACACTCCCTCTCTTACCCTCTTTTCAAAAACAAGCAGTCAGAAGAAGCCTACTCTATTATCTCTACTTCATCTATCATTTGCTCAGCCCACTATACTGTATTTACATTCTTTCAGATCACCGTGCCTTGGTATGGGATGTCTTCTACTCCTTCATCTTTCCAACTTTAACTTAGCTCAGTTGCCACCATGTGCAGGAAGCCATCTGACACTGTTAGGGTTTGTTTTATCTCTTCTTTCTCACAGAACCTTATCCTGAGCTCCATCGTCGTGCTGTGTTACAATTGTCCGCTGTTTGTCATTCCTCCATTAGACTGTGAGTACTTTAATAGAAATATCTTTCTTTCTAATCCTAGAACTTAGCATAGTACCTGATATGTGGAAGATGTTCAATAAATATTGAGTTAACGGACTATTGGTTTTGAGCCGATTATTTTTATTACTAAACAATGCAATAGATTTTGTTTTGCAGCATCTACTAACATATTACTTACATTAATATTTTAAACCAACATTCCAAGACATGCCCCAAACAGAACTTTATTTGTCTATTTTATTACTAAATAATTACATATTTCCTGGCCCAAACAATTTCTATTTAGGCTAGAAAGCCAAAGCAAAATAAAGACTCTTAACTCAAATAAAAAATGAAATATTACTAATACTACAAATATCTCTGGTTATTCTGTTTAGTTGCCAGAACTAAAACATAATAGCAAGAAATATTTAACCTAATAAAATTAAGGATAATAGATATTGCAGAAATATATGTTCAGGCTAACATTTTAAATGGTATTAAACTGTACTGATCAATCAATTATTTTTCTGCATACCAAATCTTTCAATTCTTATATTCATTATCTTCATTTCCAAAAATTCACTATTAATAATAAGTTCTAATAATTTCTTAACAAGAGTAGGCCTAAAAATTGCTTACTGATATTAATTTTTAAATGGCTATAATTTAATGAATTTCTTTTGAAGATTCATCTTAATTTTTTATAACAAAGATGTGGTGAAGGAATCTACATCCAATCCAAAGAACATACACTGAAAAGATACATATTATACTAAGGGGAAAAAATCATTAAAAAATTATTTTATTTTGTCCTGAAAATTAACTTTCTCCTAAAAAGTGAAAACTTAGCAAATAAAGAATCAAATAACACCAATAACTAAATGCATAGCAGCTCCCAGGTATTGCTTGAATCTGAATTTATAATGACTGAGAGGAGTGAGAAATTGTATGGAAAGCTACTAGTTAACGTATTAATCATACATCTTGTAGGGAGTACTGTACTGGCTTCTTAAATATCAATTAAATATACCATATTTCCTTGATTTTAAGATGCCAACAATTTTAGTTAATGTGCCATTAACTAAATTACAAATACCACGTTAAATGAACATATAGAATGTAAGATACATCCTGATTATAAAAACAACTAAAATGGGAAAGAATATATGTCTAGAATTAAGGAAATACTGTATTATCTCTTAACAGCTTTATTGAGATATAATTTATATGCCATAAAATTCATCCATTTAAAGTATACAATTCAATGGTTTTTAGTCTATTCCAAGATTTATGCAACTATTACCACAATCAACTTTACAACATTTTTATCAGCTCCAAAAGAAGCCTCTATATCCATCAGCAATCACTTCCTCCCCCCACCCACCCCAACAGCTGACCCCCTAACTCTAAGGCAATCACTAGTTTGATTTTTATCTCTATGGATTTGCTTTTTGTGGACATTTCATACAAATGGGATCATATAATATGTGGTCTTCTGTGACCAGTTTTTTTCACTTAACATGTTTCTGAGGTTCATACATACTGTAGCATCCATTAATACTTCATTCCTTTTATTCTGAATAATATTCCATTGTATGGATACACCACACTTTGCTTACTTATTCATCTGTTTAGGGACACTGGGTTGTTTCTAAATAATGCTGCTATGAACATTTATGTACAAGTTTTTGTGTGGACATATGTCTTCAATTCTCTTGGGCAGATACTGAGAAATATAATTTTATGTTTAACGTTTGAGGCCAAACTGTTTTCCAAAGGAGTTGCACCATTCTACATTCCCACCAGCAACATATGAGAATTCCAATTTCCCCATATACTTGCCAATACTTGTTATTGTTTCTCTTTATTATAGTCATTCTATATATTATACCTTAGAGTAGATTCCAAAGAATACTACAGAAAGATGAATTACCCCTCTAACAGCTGGAAATTTACATTGGAATATTTCTCCAATACCAATGAGAGCTTTGCACTGTTCTTCTAATTTACGTGGTCCCTTCTGATGAGCAAAAACACTTTAAAAATGCCTAGGATGGATTTGGTGGTGTAATCTGGGATATCAGAACAATTTATCCTCTATAGAAAGCTAATGGGACAACAGAGTCAGGGATATCCATGCCATCAGCACAACCAAAAATATGTAAAAACACTCAGTTTTAAGGGTTCAGTATTTTAGTCTTTTTCTTTGTAGTCCTGGTTCTAAAATAATGATTCACATTTTTTCCATCCACCTTTTTCATCCATCCTAAGTACTTTATATACTCACACACAGGAGACCTTCCTCCTCCCTCCATGGTGCTTTCCTTTCTTTTTCTTTTTTTTTTTTTTGAGGACGATTAGCCCTGAGCTAATACCTGCTGCCAATCCTCCTCTTTTTGCTGAGGAAGACTGGCCCTCAGCTAACATCCGTGCCCATCTTCCTGTACTTTATATGTGGGATGCCTGCCACAGCATGGCTTGACAAGTGGTACGTAGGTCCGTACCTGGGATCCAAACCAGCAAACCCCAGGCCGCCAAAGTGGAACATGTGAACTTAACCACTGCGCCACCAGGCCAGCCCCCATGGTGCTTTCCACTACCCTCACCTTCTGATGAAACACTGAAGGGGAATATAAAACCCCAGGTGAAAACTTAAGGATGTCTTCATTAGGACTCTCACTTACTAGCTAGGAAATGAGGCTCCAATATGCTGAGATATCACTTGATGATAATTAATTTTCATTAGTCGATTACTTTAAGGAAGACAAGTGATTTAAACTAATATTTTCTGGTCACCTATATGATATAACAACTTCTACTTACTTTCAGGCTTTGCATCTGCTGCTGCATGGCGCATACTTTTCAGCTGGTTTTGTACTCTTTGCAGTCTCTGCACTGCATGAAATAGCTTTAAAATACAATTAGATTCATTACTTGCTTAGTCTATTGAAACTTACCACTCATATAGACAAGCAATGAAAAACACAAGTTGCACATAATTGTTGTGATATAGAAGGAACAAATAATAAAATTTGTTACTTATTGTTCAGAAGGAACAAATAAGAAAATTACTATATTAAACCCAAAATGTAACTCAATACGCTTTCACGTAAAACTTAAAAAAAAGTTTTAAGAAATTTTTTTAGTTATTTGTTGAATTTGGTGATCAAGGAAAAATACTTGTCAAAAAAATATATGTACCAGGCTTTTCTTGTCATAACATAGTTTTCTTAATTATAAGGATTGCAAGCATCCTCACAAATGATGTCTCAGAATCAGAAACTGATGCGAAGTAACCACTCCGGGCCTGGGCAATGCAGCTTACTGCTGCAGTGGAACTCCTATGATGCCAACTCAAGTTCCAAAAGAGCCAAACATCTAAACTGCCTATTTTGTAGGAAATGGCACCGACTGGAACTATATATATAAATACTTGAGCGTGTGTGAGGAAGACTGTCGCTGAGCTAACATCTATGCCAATCTTCCTCTATTTTATGTGGGACGCCACCACAGTGTGGCCTGAGGAGCAGTGCTAGGTCCATGCCTGGGATCTGAACCTATGAACCCGGGCCACTAAGGTGGAGCACACGAACTTAACCACTACGCCACCAGGCCAGCTCAGGAACTATATTTTTAATGTATTAAGTCTACTTAGTTTTAAGATAGACTTTTAACAAAATAAAAGTAATACTTTCTGGACAAATTATTTTTTCTTTAAGACAAAGTCTAAAAATGTGGAGTGTGGGTGATTTTGAGCCTTTTCATGATTTGCTTATTTGCCACTGGAGTAAAGTGTAGAGGGTACTGTGGTCAGTGGAATAGAAAGGAGGTTCTCATAGCCACAGAATCTCAGGACACCCTTGAGAGATTCTAGAAGTTTTATCAGCAGTTGACCGTGCTGCTTAGCATTACAATGAATGTTCTGTAATGTTGGAACAACATGAGTTAAACAAAGGTCAAAAGATATCGTATAGATACACACAGAGTTCAGAACCCGAAGGTGGTATTGTTGTTGCTACTGGCACCACAAAGTACTCTTAAAAGAGTATTCCAAAGTGTTAAGAAAGGGAAATATGAACTTCTACAATTCTAAAATTCTCTTTCTTTACATTTGAATTATCAGAAGGAATTATTTCTTTCATCATGAGAATATAAACTTTTATGTGGATACCTGATTCTTTTGTTCCTGTTTCTGCTGTGCAAGAAATTCTTCTCTCTCTTTTTCAACCCGAAGTTGCCTTGCTATTTTAAGCATCCGTTGATGATTCTGAACTGTCTCCACCTACAGTAAGGGAATAAGTAGTACATGTTACTGTCAAATTTAAGAAAGAAATCAGCAAGTCACGTGACTCAGACATCCACTCATCATTTCCTTTTGGTAAACAGTACTCCCTAGAGATGACAGTAAAGCTCTAGACTACAGGTCCTTAAAAGTGTTGGGCTACTGCTTAGGGAGATTCTCTTTCCATCAGTGTTACTTGAGTCTATCCTCAGATGTATACCCATGCTTTGCTTAATCTTCATTTGCATTCCTAAACCTTTCCAAGTCGTTGAGACTTAGGGCCAAAGTCTAACAGTGCTAATTCTTTCCTTACCCTTTTCTTCAAACGTTCGACTCTCTTAATGAGTTGATCCTTTTCTTCTTCCATTGCACTGATATCCTAAAAATTAGTCAAGAAATTATTATAAGAAAAAGTATTCTTTGTCTGTACACTTCAGATAAGGTTTTATATGATTATGCATCTATCATTTTTATCACTTAAACCAGAGTATTAAGGAACAAAGATCCTCTTTTGCGTGAAGGGCATTTCTATTCCCCCCCCAGGGTTCTTTCTTTTTCTTTCTTTATATGCAGGGTAATTTATCTGGCAGCTTGGTGTTCATCTAGAAAAGCAACTAGGACAGGTTATAACGTAGCAAGGTAAAGCTGCCAACCAGCACATTTGTGTTCTGCTTCCAAATATGGCCACACGATTTTTCAAAAATCTTCTATAATGGAAAGTATGCAGGTCTAAAAACATGAACAACAGCTGCTGACATCTCATCTGCTCTGTTAAATACCAAACTATATATTCTGCCAATTTTCCATCAAAATTATTTTTAAGGCTATGGTGTTTTCAAGACATAAATTTGTATCTGGTTTTGTCAATTAACCAATTCCCTTCCTAAAAATAAGGACTTCAAAAATAAGCCACCTTCCTTTTAACCAGCTCCATATTTTCTAATGAAAACAAACAAGTAAAAACTCCTTCCTAAACCTAAAAAACGAATAGCCTATCCAGCATAGTAATACTAAAGGTAAAAATATACATAGTAGTCAGTATTGATAGGATTTGAGGGAACAGGCACTCTTACTCATTACTGGTGGCATTGAATTGAAGGACAATATCAAAAGTCTTAAAATAAATGTTGATACCCTCTAGCCCAGTAATTCCACCTCTGGGAATTTGTCCTAAAAAAATACTCATGAAAGGTCACAGACTTCTCTATAAGGATTCTCATAAATGCTAAGTATATCTAAAATTTGGAAATGACCCAAATGTCTGAGGATTATTAAATAAATTATGGCACAATACAATGAAAGTCATTAAAAATTATGCAGAAGAATGTTTAATAACATGAGAAAAAGTCATGATATGACATTACTTGAAAGAAGCAGATTACATTTATTTACAGTATAATATCAAGATTTAACTATATTCACTAAAATGTCAATAGTAATTATCTCTAGAGAATGGGTTTATGAGTGAATTAGTTTCTATATCTTGCTTAATCATATTTTCTACAAAGAATACGCTCAAAAATACTTTGGTAATAATTAATGAAATTAAAATTATAGACTCTAGGTTATTTTATCTTTCAGTTTACTCACATGACATAATGGAGGAACAGCAGACGGACATTTATCATTCTTATTCCAAACTATGTTATAGGTATCAACTTATGGGTCTTTCTCCCCCACTAGATGTGAATTCATCTTTCATTCCTAATACATTCAACAAACTCTTATTAAGAACGTGCCATGTGCAGGGCACTGTGACAGGCACTGGGGATACAGTGGTGAACAAGATATACAGACATAGTTCTTGCCCTCATAGGGCTTCAGGGTAGTTGGGAAGATAGACATTAAAGTAATTATAAGTGTAATGAGTGTTATTAGACAAAAAGAATTGGGAAACTAATCTATCTAGAGAATCAGGAAAGGCCTCCCCAAGGAAGCAGCTTCCAATGTCTCCTGACTGAATAAGATAAAGACGGTGTTGATAACTCAGGAATTCTAAAAACACAAAATCCATGAAAGTGAAAATTACCAAGTGTTTAGAGAAGGAACTTATACGACTGATGACAATGTACAAATATTTTTGGGAGAACATTAAGTAACATGCATTAAAAATCCTAAAAATTTCCAGACGCTTTAATGAGCAATTGCATTTCTAGGAATTTATTCTAAGGAAACAATCACAGCTACACAAAAATAAATTCACGTAGAAGATAATCATAGCATTATCTCTAATAGCAAAAAATAAAAACAAAAAATGATTTACCTATCCATACTACGGAATATTAGTCATTAAAATTCATACTATAGAAAGATAATGAGAATATATTCACAATGTAATAATTAAAAAACCAAGATACAAATTACTATGTATGGCGTGAGCCCAAATCCACACATACATACAAAAAAAAGCCTAGAAGGATATACAACACATTAACAACTGGATGATTTTTTTCTTTTTTGTCCTTTTCTCTATTTTCTATAATATATAACTGATGTATATATATTAGATAAAGACCCAAAACGTAATCTTTTTAATCTATGATAGTGGTCTATGAGAACTCACTATGAATTTACTCTGGCCTCATTAATTTCTTCAGTAAAGAACTAGCAAAGGTCCTACAAAAGAAAATCTGTCAACTGCTGTCACTAGTTTCTATATAGTCTTAAGACTTATACTCAATTAACTAACAAAGATACTAAATCTAATATCATTCAAAAAATATTATTATGCTTTATTTTCTTTACCCTTCTTATTTCTGCTGCCGAAAATCCAGATGTCTTGAGCTGCTCACATTCTTTATGCAAAGTTTTAAAGGCTTCTATCAATTCTTCATACTAAAAGAACAAGTTAAAAAATTATAAACTAATGACTAGGTCCAGTAGGCTTTTCTTAATCAGGTTATCAATTAACTTATGGTGATTACTTAAATCATTATAGAACAGTATTAAAAACATATCCTAAACATTTATATGGGACACAACAAGGTAAGTGTGTATAATCTGGTCACTAAATACTTCTCCAGCTTCCTCTCTGGTTACTTTTCTTTCCTTTTTTATTTAAAAAAAACTCCCATCTCATCTAGGCTCTTAATTGCAGTAATTTGGATTTTTCTCTCTATCTGTTCCTCCTCTTCTTTCTCTTCCCCTCATCCTACTCCATCTATTATTAAAGATTTTATTTTTCCTTTTTCTCCCCAAAGGCCCCTGGTACATAGTTGTGTATTTTTAGTTGTGGGTCCCTCTAGTTGTGGCACGTGGGATGCTGCCTCAGCATGGCTTGATGAGCGGTGCCATGTCCACACCCAGGATTCAAACTGGCGAAACCCTGGGCCACCAAAGCAGAGCGCGTGAACTTAACCACTCAGCCACGGGGCTGGCCCCTCTGGTTACTTTTCTACCTTACAGTCTATATTCCAGCTACACTGATCTTCTTTCACTTCCTGGAACATTCCATACTCTCATCTCCAGTTTACGCACCTTATTCCCTCCAAGAATACTCTATTGACGCCCTCATCTCTAACCTGGATAACTCCTATTCATCCTTCAGGTCTCAGCATAGATACCACTATCCTCAGAGAAAGCTTCTCCAGCCCTGTACCTATCCTATATCAGAGTATCATGATATCAGAGTAGATATCATGTAAAATTATAATTGCCTAGTTATTTGCCTGTCTCCCTCCTCTAGACAGTGAGAGCCAAGAGGACAAAAATCATATTGATCGTGTACACTTTTGCATCCCTGGAGCCTAGCACAGCGCATAACCCATTTAGGTGTTCAATAAAAAGTAGTTGAATGAATGGAAAAAATCACAACTCTTACCCAAAATTTTTAAAAAACAGTATTTTTTGTGAGCAATGACAGGAAATTAATAATATTTTTCTTGACTGATCATATCCTACAAATCTGTAAATCATTCATTCAAAGACTCTTTATTCAGAAAGACAAGGTGAATTTTTTATTAGGTTCTCTGCTAAATGACTGGCTAAACATGTAAGTCATTTTATATATACACACCTCAAATATACTTCGAGAACAAATATGTCTTTATTATCATTAATTCTTCCATTAGTTAACTGGGCATATTTAGTAAAAACTATTAATAAACTTCCTTCAGAAGAATTAGTATTTATCAAATTTATTGATGGAGGAGGGTAGGGAGGAGAAAATATTTCACAGTTACACTTCCCTATTTCCTACATTATATAAAGCCTTCAAAAGTAGGGGCTGGTGTGGTCTCATTCTGCTGTACTTCTCCCATGGCATCTTCTGTGACATTTGACATAATTATTTGCAGAAACCTTTCAACTGCAGAAATGTCTTAAGAGATCAATATTGACTCTGAGCGCCTGCTATTGCTACCCAAAATAACAAAATCTATGAAAAAACATTTAGTTGGTTGTTTTGACTCAATCCAAATTTTGAGCACATACCATATAGAAGCAACTCTACAAAACTCTAGAAGAAAAAAAAGATGGATAAGACATGATACCTATCTTCATAAACTTCACAATCTAGAGAGAGAGACAGATTGACAAGCCATTCACAACAAACTGGCACAAATCAGTCTATGTACCTACTATGGAATAAAAGCATAAAGTGCTAAACAGAGGTACTTTTTGTGTTTTTTAATCAAAGTCCTTTGAAATCTTAAGCCTGAATCCTCTTTTTTTTGTTTTTGAGGAAGATTAGCCCTGAGCTAACTACTGCCAGTCCTCTTCTTTTTGCTGAGGAAGCCTGGCCCTGAGCTAACATCCATGCCCATCTTCCTCTACTTTATATGTGGGACGCCTACCACAGCATGGCGTGCCAAGCGAATCCTCTCTTTTCATAGTCTTTGATCAGCAATGTGCTTTGAAATCCCAGGACCAGGAGCCCGATCATCCAGAATCCTCAGTAGTTAAGAGCTTTAGGATCTTAAGGCCAAAGCCTAATATTACCCAGAATTCTGGTGAGAAAAGTATACTGATATTTCAAACTCCAGGCCCTTTCTCTATCTTCTGCCTGATTGAGAAGTCCTTTGAAATGCAAAGCCAAGCTTCTTTGCCTACACACAACCCTCACAGGGGCTCACATGTCCAGATTTGCCTGGGATAGTGTCAATTTATACCTTGTGTCCTAATGTAATTATGATGACAATCCCTTTCCCTCTGATTTGGATGACAAATTGTATAGACCTAACTGATCGCCAAAGTGCTCTGCAGTCCCAAGCCCAGTATCCTTTCTATACACAATTCTTAAGTATTAAATTATTCTAAAATCCTAATTTCAGAGTTTTTTTCTATCCACGTACCACTATCACTGAAATGGTATTTGTGTGCAAAAGTCAATATTTTCATACATGATTACAGCTGAACATTTGCTGATAACTGTTTTACCTTTTGGTGTCACCTGGAAATAGAGAGACAGCAAATAAACTAGAGAGAGATTAAAACGTATTTGAACATGTGCACCTTGTAATCCATTACAGACAGTTTAAATTACCATTTATGTATTGTATACCTGTTTATTGGTATCAGCAACCGTTTCATCCTGAAGAAACTCACTTGGTACATCAAGCTTTATTAAGAAACGAGCTAAATATGCTCTTTTTTTCAATTCATTAGTTCTCTGAAGAAGCCAGTGGAGCACTGGGTAAATTACAGGTTTACTTCCAATCACGAGACCCTGACGAAAGATGCTCCTATGAAAAGAACACACACATACACACAGGCTTATAAGTAAACCTTGAAACATTTGTTCAAAATCCTACTTACAATTTCATGACTGCTTTCCATGACTATTTAAAAAAGATAAAACCAAGGCTATTCTAAAGTAAATCTGTATATTAACAATAAACATAAAATTAGGCCCTCAATATATCACTGGAATATAGGGGGAGGTTGTATTGGAACCATTAATTGGTACAGTCAGCTTTAATACTTCACTAATTAGGCAAGTTTAAGTTATTGTTTTTATCTAGGATGACAGACAAATGATAAAACGGAATAGTGGCTTTATCTGACTGTTTTGATTAGGAGAAAGAACTGACTCACTTAAGACTTGTGCATGACCAAATAACATTAAAAGTTCAAGATTATTTTGAAATTTAGTGATGTTCTGAGGCCACTGGCTTAGGGAGACCAGGTATTGCCTAGAAAGATTGACTGTAGCCTATGAAGGCTTAGATATTAAAGCACAGTTTTAATAAAGCAACACACTCTCAGATTCTTACATGTCTGTGGCATTTCCTGGAGGTTTGTATTTAAGAATACCAAGAAGGCTCAACATCCGTTTGGCTGTCTGCTCTGGCATCTCCTCTCTGATGTCAACAACTTGCTAACAAATAAAGAAATTGGAAAAAATACGTTATTATTGTATATCTAACAAAGACAATATTTAAACTCACTGACAAAATTGTTCTGCTAGAACACAACAGGCACAATGGTCTCTTCATAAAATAGATTAAGTATGAAGGCTCCTAGGTTCCAAGTGAGGGTACATACAAGTCAGATCAGGATTCTTATTAAGAACATCAAGCTTAAAAGTCTTATGAAAAAGACAAGTGTATGAGAGATATGAGGTAACTTGCAACACAATAAAACCTTTTGTAAAAGCATTTTCATTCTATTTATGTTTGGAAGTAGAGAAATAATTTCTAAATAAGGTATAAGTAGAAAATTTAATTTTTGAGCCAACAGAGAAACCTTAAAGATCATTTACTATTACTTTTCAGGCATGGAAAATAAGGCCCAGAGAAGTTAAATACTTTGCCCCAGACTGACAAATATTTAGAGGTAGAAACTGGCTTTCCTGACACCCTTTTCATCACAGAAAAAAAGAAAACTCTTACCTTTGGGTCAATCTCAGACAGAACATCATTGAGAACCTGTAATAGTTGCATTGGCTCCAGGGAATCAAATGTGATTAAATTATAGTTCTTCCTAAAAGGCTCCTTATTGAGATTGTCCACGATGAATTTGATTTGATCACTCATAATTAGGTCTTATAAAATAAACTAAAAAGTAAAAAACAGAAAAATTCCTCAATGTTGGTAACAAAAGTTCCGGAAAAAATTAGCATTAAGTTGATAGGAAGTAGGCATGAAAAGTATAACTCCACATGGCATACAAAATGCTGTGAGAAGGGTTCTTTTGTTGAAAGAAATCAGAGTATGAAGACTTTATTATGGATCCTACTGTACATACTGTTAATATTTAATGCCAAATGTTTTTACATATGCAACTGCTGTGATAGCAATCATCTGAATTAACATGAACAAATGAATAATAAATCCCACCTACATTAACATCTCTCCCATTCATCTCCACAACTTCTATCTAGGGGTAAAAACTTGTTAACCGGCAGACATACTTCTAATTTTTTTTATTAGTAACCCATGTTAATCTAGATTACCAATTTCTCTTGAAAATCAGATCTGGCAACCCTGGGCCCACTTGGTACCGGGCCACATCCAAGTGAAGCAGAGCGTAGGCTGCAAGCTTCAGCCTGGGTATGCGCTCTTCGGTTTTGTTTTGGCTTCCTCCACCAAGCCTTCTCCATCCATTTGTGTTGTCAGCTTAGCCCTGGAGGCATCGCCTCCACCACCCTAGAGTAATTCAGACCTCCATTTCCTTTGCCTTCAACATGGAAACAGCCTCATGTTTTCTAGTTTCTGACTCTCCCATTCCAAATCATTTGTAGGCTTCTCATTGCATACAAAATAAAGTCAAAACTTCTTGGATTTTGAGACTGTTTAAGATCTAGCTGAATTTAGCCTTTCCCAAGTTTATTTCCAAATTGTTACCTTTCACCTTTTCAAACTTCAGTTGACTTTCAATAGTGTTTCCACCTTTGCCTTCAATTAATGCTGTTTTCTCTGCCTAGAAGGACTGTTCTCCCTTTCCAGGTCACCAGAGGTGCAAATCCTAACTGTCCTTGGAGCCCTCCAAATGCAAGTCCCTCCAGGGGAATCTTTCTCAAGCTAGTCCCCACATTCTGCAAGAGTAACAGCCCCTGCTCCTCCAAGTTGACCACGCTTTATCTGCACTGCTCTCCTACAGTTACTTTTGTATTTTGTACTAGTTACTAATGTACATTTTTGTCTTCCCTACAAAACTGTAAATTCCACCAGGACACACCTGTGCCTAATTCCATCTCTGAACATCCACTGCATCTCAAACAGTGACTTCTTCCACTAGAATGAATGAATTTGTTCACAGGATCAAGGCCAGAAAAAACGTAAGCCTAAGCAGGCTGGCAGTGAAAAAGACCATAACTTTTTAAAAAACTATCTCATTATTTAATTGCTGAAACAGCTTTACTAAGGTTCCAAGTGTTTTCTCCATGCAGATGTCACTTGTTTAGTATGGGAAGAAGCAGTATAAATTTTGCAGGCAGGCAATGTTTTAAACTAGCAATTTAAAAAATGAGTTAAAAATTAAATGCTAAAAAAGAAACAAAGAAAAAAATTACTTCAGTGCTCCAGTAGTTTTTAACCATGAAATGGACAGATGCTATTTTACCCAAAGACATTTGTGGGGTTGCATGCATCTTGCTCTGTAATAGGTTTTTAAAATTGGGTGGGTGGAGCCAGATATTTAGAAAACATAAAAATGTGAAGATATTATCCTTTCTCCATAATCATGATAAAACTATGAGTAAATGATTATTATTGTTAAACATATAAGTCAAAAGACGGTAGAAAGGATAACCAATGTGGTTTTAAAATTTGAAGTTTCCTTCAAACTATTAAAGGGAAATCTTTACATAAATTAAGTACAAATTCACATTGGAGATGCAAATTTTCCAGTTAAAAGTATTTTAAGTAAAAGTCCACGTCACAATCTTCGCACATGTATCTAATCTTCAACGATTTAAAATTTTAATATATATAATATTTAACATGTATACACACACACATACATATTCTTTTTTTCAAAAAAACAAAAACAGAACACTTGGATAAAAAGTACAACGTTGCCAGGAGAGGAAAAGAAACTAGGAGACGTCCCCCCTAGCGGCCCACCAGCTTTCAGACGGTCACCCGCGAAGGACAAAGATGTTCTGAACAGGTAGGTTGTCTATGCCCAGTGGGCTCTGCGCTCTAAAATTAGCAAAAGCAATTACTCTCCCTCCTGCAGCGGAAAGTCGCCCCACTGATTCACAAGCACTTACCCACGTAAGAACCCGGGGGGGGAGGGGGCGAAAACCAGGACGTGCGTTTATCTGGCACAACTCGGGACAGAAACGACGCCGCTCTGGTCCCAGGCTGGCACGAGCGCTGGACCAGCAGCCTCCTGAGAGTCCCCAGAATAGTGTCCCCACCTCCCCACCCCGGAGCTCGGGAGAGGGACAGGGGACCCCACATCCGCCCCGGGCACCTAGCGGGGGCTGATCTGGGCTCCCCGACGGCTCACCCCGCCGGGGAGCGGCCTGGATCACCGCGCGGCCCCACACGGGCCGACCCCCAATTTGAGGGCTTCCCTGCTGCGACCCCTCCACTTGCGAGGCGCTGCCCTGGGAAGGAGGGGGCGGGAGTTCTCCTCTATTTCGGGGTTCGGGGGAGTTTCCGACCGCGGGCTGGGGAGGTTACCTCAAATTCTCCTCACGAAACCACTCCTCCCACCCCCCCCCCCCCCCCCCCCCCAGGAGGCATCCGGGCTCCAGCGGGTTCCTAGAGACGAGCTCCTTGGCAACGGTTGCTAGGCCGTGGCGTTCGCTCACTTCCGGCGGGGAGGGCGGGCGCGTTTCCGCTGGGCCCCTGGGCGCGCGCTGGGCCGAGGCCCGGGAGGGCGAAGCGCAGAGCCGGCGCCGCGCCCCCTGCAAAGCGGGTTCAGGGCCTCCGAGCCCCTGCGGGCAGCCTGCGGAATGCGCGGTTATCACCCTGGCAATAAACTTTCCCGGACGTTCTGCAGTTTACAAAATACTCTCTTCATTATTAACCCATTGAAGTGAGTGTGCCCTTTCATTCATTCACCAAGCATCGGTGATGACTTCTTTGAGGGCCAGTGGGATTTGGGTTGAGGAAGCATTTGGCCTGAGCTTCAAATTTAAGTTTTTGACATAAATATCTACAAATTAGGTTATAGGTGGGAACAGCTGGAGAGTCTCCGGCAGGATTAAAAGAAGACACATTCATCACAGAGATTTCAGCTTCTTTCTCACGTTATTGGGCCACGTAGCCTGTACTGGGAATTAAATTTCTTTAAATCCGGTAATTTTTTTAATATGCTGAGAGCCTGGGGGAAAAAAAAAAGTAAATGGCCTAAGACTCCTTTTGAAAGTGTCTTTAGGCACCAGCAGAAATGAAGTCCTCCTTGTCGTCGTCTTGGAGTTCATATCTTATGAGGTGGGCAGGAGGAAGATTTTCGTGCCCAGATCACAGACGAGGATCGGAAGTCTAGGGAACTAGAGACCCCAGGATTGCACTAGCTGACTTAAGGGAGACCTTAGTTAGTGAATGGTATTTTGAACCCACTTCTGTTAGACTGGAGACCACTGTACTTGGTGATGGCAGCTGGCAATAAAAAGAAGAAAAACACGAAATTCCTCGCACCTTGAAAACTTTGTTGTCTGCTCAAACATCTTGGAAGAAACCAACTACAGATTTAGCATCAGGTTTACAAAAATAAGAATAATAGCAACAAATTCCATAGTGGACATCTCCTCTATGCCCTGCACTATGCTGGCTGCTGGGGATGCAGTGGAGGGCAGGAATTACCTGGCCCCTGTCCTCATGGAGCTGACAGTCTAGTGCAGGAAGAGAGACAATTGAATGGGCAACACTAAGACAACTGTGATAAATGCTATCATAAAAGGATCCGATGATGAGGGAGCCCAGAGTAAGGATCCCAAGCTTATTTGGGGCTGAAGGGACCGTACCATGAGGAGAAGTTCCACTGGACAAAGTGATGTTTATGTATCGGTAAAAATTTTAGCCAAATAGGAAAGGGGAGAGTTTTCTGGTCAGAGGGAACAGAACATTCTGCATTCTGACTATTGAACTGTCAAGCGAAGGCACTCTGCGAGACACTTGGTGAAAAATGAAGACCGATACCAGATCATAGATGCTCACAACCAGTTGGAGGAGGAAACACTTAAAACCTTGAAAAGTTAAATAATTTAAATAATTCTGGGAAAAACAATAAAAGATTCGTATAAGGGACTACAATAATTAATTGATCCTGTTTAGTGTATTGGGAGATTCTCCTGGCTGCCCAGATTCGAATCCTAGGTCTGCCATTGTGTGGCCTCACCTCTCTGAGCTTTTGTATCCTTACCCGTAAAATGTGGCTGTAATAATACCTTCCCCAAAAGAGTTGATGTGAGGATTGAGTTGATACAGATAAAATGACTAGAACAGTGTCTGACACTGGAAGAGCTAAGGACATTTTACCACTTTCTTCTTTTTAAAAAAATGAGATGATTAGATTTATTCCTTCTGTAGGGTCTACAGATGTAACTTATGGAAAGAGAAGAGTGGCTTATCTAACAGTTTTTAGTTCCTCTTCTGCCTGTTGCAGCTGTTATAGAAACACTGTACTTTTCCGTTATGAGACTGCAAACTATGTAAATTCAAGTAAGCAGTGGAATCTGCTCTTTGTGCTCAAACTTGAAGGGATCTTATGCTTATTGTGATTGCTCTGGAACACAGGGAAGAATCTGAGGCCAGTCACTATGCTTCCTGGGATCCATATACTGAGAAGCTTATGTTCCAACTTGAAGCAAAAAAGAGAGACGTAGAGAGGCCTGCACTTATTGGGTCCCTGCCTATCTACAGGGCCCAGACACAGGCCAAAGGAAGATTTGCTACCACTCCCTGATTCATTTATGATAAAACCGTGGATGGATTCGTGGAGGGATCCGAGAGGAATTTCTCAGCACAGTTTCACCACAGTGAAGGCATTGCTGATTACATCCCAAGTCAAACCACCTACTTGAAGACTTTTTTTCCTTAGATGCTATGCTGAGTCTTCCTTGTAAACCCCTCAAGATAGATACCTCTTGGCTGGACTATATTTGACATCTTTACTAGGTGAAGGGAAGTCCCATTTGTATGAGACAGCCTTTCTGAAAGACTCCCACTCCTACCCTGACTCTTTCTCTTTTTCCAAAAAAATAGCTTTATTAAGATGTAAATCACTCGGGGGCTGGCCCGGTGGCCCAGAGGTTAAGTTCGCATGTTCCACTTTGGCGGCCCTGGGTCTGTGGGTTTGGATCCTGGGCCTGGACCTCTACATCATTCATCAAGCCATGCTGTAGTGGCATCCCACATAGAAGAACTAGAAGGACCTACAACTAGGATACACAGCTATGTACTGAGACTTTGGGGAGAAAAAAAAAGAGGAAGATTGGCAACAGATGATAGCTCAGGGCCAATCTTCCTCATAAAAAAAAAGATATAAATCACATACATACAATTCACCTACTTAAAGTGTACAATTCAATTGCTTTTAGCATATTCATAAAGTTATGCGACCTCACCACTATCTAATCCCAGAACATTTTCATTACCCCAAAAACAAACCCTATTCCCTTTAGCCATCATCTCCCAATTTGCAATTAAAAAACCCCACTACTTCCCAGCCCTTGTCAACCACTAATCTACTTTCCTTCTTTATGGATTTGCCTTTTCTGGCCATTTCATATACATAAATGGAATCATAAAATACGTGGCTCTTTGTGTTTGGCTCCTTTAATTTGGTATAATGTTTTCAAAGTTCATCCATGTTGGGGCATTTATCAGTACCTCATTCCATTTTATGGCAGAATGATATTCCATTGTACGGATTTTTGTTCATCCATTTATCTGTTGATGGACATCTGGATTGTTTCCACTTTGGGGCTGTAATGAACAATGCTGCCATGAACATTCATGTACATTCCTCCACTTTATATAAAGCACTTCCATTGGCTAAGTCAGGTGAACATGGTATGCACATCAGGAACACGGGTAAGCGGCGGGAGGGTGGCCATGCATTCCTGAGTTTGTCTTTTCTTTGCAGTTCTTATTAAGTTTGGCCTCTTGGGGGCCCCTGGTTGTAGACTACAGGACCCAAGATGTGGATTCCTTAGCAGTTTTCGACTGTAACAACAGACAGCTGTTGAAACCTACGTGTCCCTTGCTACCAAACCATTAAAATTCCCAGTCTGCTTCTCTGATGAGCCCTCTGATGAGAAGATGCTGCTATATGGAATCGTCCTTTCAGTGTTCACCAGCCTCTAGTGGAGGAGAGGATGGAAGGGAATGGAGGAGGTGGGAGAGAAACTGGAAGATTTTCCCTTACCTAACCTTGTAGATACTGAAAGGACGAGCCACAGTTGTGAACCTCTGCTCTGGTTATTCAGAGGGGAAAACAATCACTCCTCGTCAGGTGTATTTTTCAAGACTCAGTTTAGTACAAGATAAAAAATAAGGAGAGGGGTCATTATTTCATGCAGTTGTGAAATCCAAGGATATTATTACCTTCAGGTATAGCTTGATCTAAAAGCTCAATGATGTCATCTTGACATGCTTTCTCCCTCCATCTCTCCGTCTCCCATCCCTACTTTCCCCAGAATGAGCTGCTAGTAGCAACAGCCTTACATTCTGCCAGCCTAGCAACCTCAGTAAAAGTAAAATCTTTTCTCCAATAGTTCCAGCAAATTCCCACAGCTGACTCTCAATGGTCTGAAAGGTGTCAGACCATTCTTGAATCAATTGCTAGGACTCTGATGGACATAGTAACAGACTGGGTGAGAGTGGCTCCCCAAAACAAAGGGCTGCATTTTCTTACCAGAGGCAGAGATGTAATGCCAACAAGAACAACA